TGCCAATAGCTAGCTAGCTATCTAATCCAGAAAATAAGGTGGATATTCAGGGCTCTTTCTCTTTTTTTTCCTGTGCTACTTATGGAGCTGATTTTTTAACCTTTTAATATAACTTCTTGCTTTTGTCTGCACCTGTTGGTGGTGTGGAGTTCATTGTTTTCTTCCTGCTTGGCTATATTTTACCTACCTGCCTCTCCTCAATCTCTTATTGTTGTTCATTCTCAATATATTTTTCCATATTATTATAGGATTGCTTTCTCTGCTGCAGTTTTGCTCAATGCTCTTGTGTTTTTCTATGCAATAAACTCGATGTCTTAGACACCCCTGCTATTCTGACCTTGTACAAAAACATCATGCCTGGTACTTGTACTTGCTACAATTTTGCTGCGATATCTGGGCACTAGTGGCTAATTTATCGCTTATCTCATGTTTTCAGCCCTATTTAACCAAGATGGGGGTGTGACAACAGTATCATGCGTCAGTACAGCCGCATTCGAAAAGTTCTCGTACCCACCCTTGTATCATACCTCGGCAACTATACCGACCAACAACTAGAGAACAAGAAACGCCTTTTACCTGACTGTTCTTAGATATTCCTCTAGGGATACTGCAAAATTTCAACACAATTTGTTTGCCAAACGGGGGGGGGAGAGGTTAGGCGAAGCACTTCTAAGGGCAGGGGGTACCTGGAATGGTACAAGAACTTTGAGAAATGCGGCTGAAACTGGACAGGAGAACAGGGTTAGGGTTTTCAGGAACCCAGTTCAAAAAAAGTAAGCTTGTCCAACGTAAGTCCCTAGCCCTCTTGAGCCATCGCTGGAAACGTATCATACCGTTCTCATATTCTCTCACCCTAATGTAGGTTGTTAACCAAACTCTATGATAACTCTATGTTACCTAGGGATGCACGCGGGGAAAATACAGGCACACAGGGAGGTATCATAAGGAGACTGGAGTCTTGGTCGCAACAGCGGACTTTTTTTAAAAAAAAGCCATTAATCAAGGGTATCATACAACCGAATTCTCCAATCACTTTTTTATTTAAAATAGTTTCGTGATATTGTTCGTGCTGGGAATTTAAACTTGTTTTGTCTACTGCCTTACAATATGACCTACTGACACTTGGTTATTTTGATTTCATGCATTCCTAGTTATCTTGCCTTTTACCCCCCTCTCCGGTGTTTTCCCGTTTTTTTTGCGTCTCCATTCTCCGGGGATCAAATGCTATGGTACCGTATCATAGACAAGCATAGGGATACTTGAAGATAGTTAGAATACATGTATCGCTTGCAGGAGAGAGAAGAGCAGTTTAGGGACAATAGAAAGCAGAGAAAAGTGAGAATCTACAGACAGGAAAGCATGATCAATCTAAATCCAAATGCGAAATAGATATAGAGGAGAAGGAAATTAAAAACAAAGATAGTGACTAAGAAATCCTATTATAACAAGACTGGTGTAGCCTCTCTAGTTCGCGGAATCATTATAGGATAAAATCGTGAATCCCTACTTGACCACTAGCGAATTCCGATAGGTTTTGATACCTTCATGTGTGGCGAGTTGGGTTCCCAGGTTAGCGATGAAGGCTTCAGAGAAGCATTCTGAGTTGAATAAAGGAAAGGAAGGGGAAGACAAGAATGTCCGCAAGGTTGTACAATGCCGGAGCGAGGTGAGTGTGGTTTGGAGGAGGGGGAAGTGGTCTGTGGGACATATGGATGTACTGCGCCGATAGGAATGTTGAAAATGCAGCAGATAGCTATTTCTAAGGAAAACGGAAAGATTGTTCCTTCTTGGGATTAAAACGTGTAGTGGTTCACGGATTAGCGGGTTATCTGGGTGGGAGTTAGATATATACGTGAAGAGTGCTGAAGAACATAGGAGCACTAAGTAAGAGCCTAAACACCGGCAGTTAATTACGACAACGTCGCGTTGTGTCTGTCCGGTTTACCCTTCTCTGATGGCGGACGTGGCACAAGGTGAGATGTCAAACCATGAGACCTTAAGCTCTGCCCACCGAGACACGGTGAGTATTACAAGGCTATAGCTGTGTAGCCTTTCATTAAAAGCGAATGATATCCTGTGAGTGCTCACTTGGCAGAATGGCTCTACAATTGTTTTCTGGGTAGTATGACAATACCTCGGTTGTGAGGAAAAATTTCAGAGTATGGCTGAGGGCCGACATATCTCATTGCTCTGTTAGATTTACAGCTCTACGGTCCGTAGATTATTTGACTTTACTCCTGCACCTATGAAACTGCTCTAAGTGTTTATTTGACCGAATAGCTAATCAATGCAGTAACCGTATCAGCGAAACTCAAAGCTCACTGCCACACTTGTTCTGAGATCTCGCATCGCTAACACGAGTAAGGCCAAGAGGTTTTTAGAAATAGTTAGAGTTTAAAGTATATATATTTCCTCCCATCTTTCGCCACTAGATGATTATTCTGATACTAATAATGCTCGTAGTAACAAACGACAAAAAAGCTACAACCCCCACAGTCTAATCCTGAATGGAATCTAAACCCAACCCAACCCGCTACCATGCAATGCAATATTTAATGGAAAGAAAAACGAGTCAAGCAACCTGAAAAAAAGAAACGAATCTCATAGTACAAGCAAAAGCCCGCCGGTAACCTCTCCACCCTTACAAAACATCAATTCTCAATCCGCTTCCAGGGGCATACCAGACAACCTCGTTGTTATCTCCGACAGAAGTAACTTCATATGCCTTAGCCCCCATAGCAGGGCAATCGAAGGTCAAGCCGGAACCCTCAATAACTGTAGCCTCGCCCCACCCGGAAACACGGAAGGAACCCTTGAATTGGTCTCTGAAGGGTCTCTGATTGAAGGTGGCCCCAGCAATGTTCGCATCACCAATGGTGAACACTTGGATCTCCCCGGTGCCGCTGAACTGGGCTGGGTAAGCAAATGCCAATCGGCACTTAGACCCAGTAATACCCTCAGGGAAATCGAACTTGACGAAGGCTTGGGAGTTGTGCTTGTTGTCGACACGGGAGACTATCGCTTTGTTGGTCACGCCGAGGGGGGTGTCGGGGGTGTCTTCGTTGATGTTGACCACGGCGCTGGAGTTGATTACTTGCTTGACGTGGTCCCGGGCGACGAGGTTTTCCCCTGGAGTCTCCGCGGGGGCTGCGGTGGGGAGGGCAGTTGCTAAGGTAGCAAAAATAGCGAGGGCTGAGGAGAATATGGCAGTCTTCATTTGGATGTTTGTATTAGGAAGTTGATATTGAAAGTGGAGAGTAGTGGGCGTTATAAGAAACTGAAGACTAAAGATATTGTGAAGATGGTAATGTTGCTTTGGAGTACTTGTTAAGAGATTTCCAAGAGGGTGCTTTCTTCCAAGTCGCGGGATCTTGAAAAGTATTTATGTTACTTCATCTCGCTCACGATGTAGTACTCAAATCCTCAAGTCAATCATGGCGATGCCATTGCCGATACCATAAGACAATACCTGCACCGCCCAAGATGACTGTGGTTAGTATGATACATACTCATCCACCCTCCTGTGGGCATCGTGAAAACCTACGGGTTTTGGTAAACTTAGGGTAAGTTGAGGCTGAGGCGGTAGGTCTATACCGATATATCATAGGTTCCTTGTTTTTTCGTTCCAGGGATGGAGCAAAGAAGTGGAAATGAGAAGAACGACCCGAATGGTTTAATAGAGAAGTTTATTAAAAAAATAATAAAAAATAAAAAGGGCAACTATAAGCAATGAAATAAAAGCACACGGTAGTATGAAGCGCACAGCCAAGTCACAGATTTTAATGTTACCGATTCCCACACCTACCTAAATATTGAGAATCTTATTACATCAATCACCGATATTACTAGCAAACAGGACAGGAATTTACATCAAAAGCTAGGTATTTGCCGCCTATAGCTACAACCTAAGGAAGCAACAATCTAATCACTAAAAAAATTCTACATAAAATCGCAATTCCATATAGCTTTACCATTTCACTTTACACATTTGTTCCTTCCTATTTCTGTCCATCATTTCATGTCTATGTCTATTTCAAGTTATCAAAGAAACTCTGAATGTAGGTGGCACCGAATCATAAAGATTTCGCTCCAACATAAAGGTAGCTACAAAGTCACACACTCGCCGATGTTTCCAGCTCCATATAGCCCCCACATGGACAGATCATAGATGAGGGACTATATAGAGAAATATTTGTATATATCCGAGTGCCCATATGAATCACACTCCTACCCTATACTCAGCCCGCACTTCAGTCTAACTTCCGTCCAGGATACTGGCTCTTGTCAGTCTTACCGAATCACCTGTTCAGGGCACAAATAGCAAGGTTCAGTGGTTCACATGCCACAATTGCGCTGCGGTATTCGGGCACCGGTGGCTATCGCTCATCTTGTGTTTCCGGCCCTTTCCGGGTTGGAGATGTGAGAAGAGTAGCCTGTAGTTGCAAGCAAGAACCTGCTGTAGGGTTAGGGTTTTCACGAACCAGGTTCAAAAAATCAGCTTGTCCAACGTAAGCCCATTGCCCCAACGAGCCACGGAGGGAAATACGCCGTTCTCATATTTACTCATCCAAATGTAGGCTGTTGGCCAAAACTTTAATGCTATCATATTATCCTACCGGGGAATGCGCGCGAGAAAACCGAGGCACGGTGAGGTAAGGAGACTGGATTCTGGGCAACAGCTGACTTGAAAGCAGGGACCATCAATCAAGACTATATCGGACGTGGGACTACCATCACAGCCGTAACCTACCCTAAGTTTATCAAAACCCACAGGTTTTCGCGGTGCCCATAGGTATGGTGGATGAGTACTAACTACAGTCATACTCGGCGGTGCAGGTATTGCCTTGTGGTAGGGACAATAGCATCGCCATAATTGACTTGGTGATTTGAGTGCTGTACAGTACGGTGAGGGAGATGGAGTGACATAAATACTCTTCGAGATCCCACTATCTGGAAGAAACCACCCTCTCGGACATCCCTTAATAACACTCCAAAACCACATCACGATCTTCACAATACCTAATCTTCTAATTCTCACAACCCCCACTATCATCCACTTTTAATACCAACATCCCAGTCCAAATATCAAAATGAAGACTGCTATCTTCTCCTCTGCCATTGCCATTTTCGCTACCTTGGCCACCGCCCTCCCCACCGCAGCCTCTGCAGAGAACTCGGTAGAGAATCTTATCACCCGCGACCAAGTCAAGCAGGTGATCAGCTCCAGCGCCGTGGTCAACATCAACGAAGACACCCCCGACACCCCCCTCGGCGTGACCAACAAAGCGATAGTCTCCCGCGTCGACAACAAGCACAACTCCCAAGCCCTCGTCAAGTTCGATTTTCCTGAGGGTATTACTGGGTCTAAGTGCCGATTGGCATTTGCTTACCCAGCCCAGTTCAGCGGCACCGGGGAGATCCAAGTGTTCACCATTGGTGATGCGAACATTGCTGGGGCCACCTTCAATCAGAGACCCTTCAGAGACCAATTCAAGGGTTCCTTCCGTGTTTCCGGGTGGGGCGAGGCTACAGTTATTGATGGCTCCGGCTTGACCTTCGATTGCCCTGATATGGGGGCTAAGGCATATGAAGTTGCTTCTGTCGGAGATAACAACGAGGTTGTCTGGTATGCCCCTGGCAGCGGATTGAGAATTGATGTTTTGTAGAGGTGGAAAGGTTATCGTCGAGCTTTTTGCTTGTACTATTACTTTCATTCCTTTTCAGATTGCTTTCATTCTTTTTTCTTAAACATTGCATTGCGTGGTAGTGGATTGGGCTTGCATTTAGTTCGCGATCAGAGCATGGAGATAGTAGTTTTGTTGCCTTTCATTAGCACGAGCATTATTAGTACTAGAGTAATTATGTAATGGAGATATATTGGCGGAAATGCACACTTTAAACCGGAGCCGTTCTTGTCTGTTATTTGGCCTGACCCGTATGACCCATGAGAGATCGCGGAACAAAGAGTCATAACGTGCTTTGAGTTTCGCTGATACGGGTAATACGCCGAGTAGTTTCTGGGTCAGATAATATCCTGGGGTAGCTCAATTAGCAAAGGAGCGAAGCTAAAGGATTTAGCGATTGTAAAGCTGTGAACTTGATATCTCTCACGTATGATACCCGTCTGAGCATTTATCAGAACCCACAAGAGTTCAAGTGAGGATTTATGATCCCATCCTATGGTGAACATGTTTCACCGACACAGCGATCACACCGAACAATCCCTACTACGGAGGTATAGCTCATAAGCTTTGTATGTTCCACAGGCAGAGAGTTCAGCACCCTAGACTTGTGGAACATACAAAACTTATGAGCTGTACCTCCGTATGATAAATAGAACAGAGTTGAGCAAATCTATAATCCCGATGTTCCGAACAAGAAGTCTACCTGTACAGCTCGGTACGAGTCTACCATCAAGCTTTCGAAAAACCGGCCTTTTAAACTCATTTCCACCCCGCGAAGAATGACTCAAATTTCATTTGTTGTGGCCGTGAACCTGCAATCCTAGGTGGGAAACCCTTAGTCCTAGTGAATGAAAGACGTCAGCTCATATATGTATAATCCCGACAATGATGGCCGAGCACCGCTCTCGTTGGCAGCCGAGTCCGGGCATCACGGAGTATTGAAGCGACTATGGGGACAGGAACATGTCAGCCGCAGCTTGCCAGACAAGGCAGGCCGTGTTGGAAACCGTTCTCGCGGGATTGCGGGAGCGGCGAGGCTACCGCACCCCCACCAATTCGCAAGCTCCAAACCCGCCTCGACCGTACGAACACAAAATCTTTCACATCATCCTTAAGTACAGCTATGCCCTGCTTTTTCGGCATTCCCATAGAAACGTCCACATGCTCCACTTCTCCAAACCCTTTTCACCTCCCTCCCTTCCATTCCCTTCCGGATTCAACTCAAAATTCTCCTTGGATGTCATCACCGTCCTCGCTAGTATCTGGGAACCGAACACATACATTCCAATCTCGAAATTTACGGAATTAGCTTGTGCGGTTGGACCAGGATCTATCACTTCTACTCCTTTCCTTTCGGTAAATGGAGGACGATGTGCTATTCCTGTGGTTACCCGGTGACTTTTCGGTCTCTGCTGTTGGTTGTAATTTATTTCCTCCATAATAATATTATTACCTCAATTAAATTTTTATATTTAGATATAGATTTGTCATGATTTCCTGCTTATATGCCCTAACCCGTCTCCAATTTTTTATTGCTAGTCCTCTATCCTAGGACGATATACAGTATGCATTCTAACTCCCTTCAAGTATTCCTTTACTAGCCCGTGATTATTGAGGAAATGGCAATTCAACCACAGCCCTGTAATATTACCGTGGCTGGAAACCATAGATGCTGCCCGGCATGCTCGGGCTATTGTTCCGCTTGCTCGGATAGAGGATTCGGGGATGAGTTCTGGATCATTGCATCTGTGGAAGGAAAAGACGCATCCGCCGGAAGCAGTACGGGATAGTCAAAGGGGTTAATCCGAGCAGAGGCTACGAACGGTGGGAGCCTTTACAGGGCCGATGTTTCCTTTTTTTAGCATGGGGGTACGCAGAGGAAAGGGAGACTTGCGTGGACGAGGCTGGATGTGTGTGGGGATCGATGGAAAGATTAGAGGATGCCTCTTTTGCGACTTATATATACTCCTGTCTTTTACCGATTAGTTAGTTGGCCATGTTGAGCGATGGTGTGGAGAGAGTTGAATCAGAACGAGCGAATTTCCCCACCCGCGCGGAAGTGGTGCGCGGGCGATCGGAGCTCGTTTCGTTCCCCCCCCGTTGCCTTACTAATCATCGCTTCTATGCAGATTCAAAAGTCGTTGCGGCTTAAATAACGAACAGGGGGGCTCAGCGAACACTACACTAAAATTGACTTAGTAAGCCGCGATTATGTTTGGTCTGTTCGTTGAGCCCCTCTGTTCGTTGACCCCCCCTATTTTAGCCACTCTCGTCCACTCAAGTCTCCCGTTCCCGCATACTCCCGTGCTAATAAAAAAAAACGACAGGCTTCATGGAGGCTCCCGCTTCTTCGGACAGACGCGTGTTTTCCTTCCACGAATACGTTAATTCAAAGCGCTCCTCCGAACCTTTATCCGACCGAACAAGCGAAACGATAAACTGAGCCTGCCTGCCAACCTAACATACCGGTATCACACATACTGTACCCGACTCAGGACTTATAAGAACTCGCTAGTTGCCCCGCGAGTATTTACGATTCCGTCCCATCACTGTTCGGTGGTCAAGACGTACTATTCTTGTAGTTATGATGGGAATATTTAATCCTAGTTTTCGCCGTTATTTTGTTTCTTCCGTATAATAATTCTGAATTTAGATCTAGATTGGCCACAGTTCCCTGGTTATAAATTTTTGACTTTTCTCCATTTTCACTGATCCTATTCGGCACTGCTCTCTTACTTGTGATTCTGTTCTATGCATGTACTGTACGGTACTGTAACCAACTTTCAATATTCCGTTTCCCTATCCGTGATTATTGGAAAATCTACAGCTCAACCACAGTCCGGTGATACTTACCAAGACTCAATGGACAGAGATTAGTGTGCCAGGAATGTACCTCTTATGGTTTTCTAAGCTTATCTCTAGATCGAGATAAACCTAGCATAACAGTACTGATCCGGTATCGCCATGATACCCGCTATCAATTACTACTTATCTTACCCCCCCTATACAGTACTCTACGAGTACAGTACAGCCCTCTTGATGCCGGTACCCGCATTCGAGGCTACAAAAACTTGCGTTTGCTATCGTGTACTTCGCTAGTCCTCTAGACTCACCGGTACCCCTACTTGCCATGTCTAGCTGTGTTCAGTGTTTTCCCTCTCCTCCCTTGTTTTTGGTCCTCTGGTTCTGGATTTCATTCCACATTGATCCATCATCGCCGCTGCCGAGGCATAGACATCCGCATCAAATACACCAGGTCGCTAGTAGAGTCGGGACGGGAACCGGGGTGACAGGAGGAGAATGTCAATCGTCTAAATTTAGTTGGTCAGGTTGAGTGGTGTAAGATAACATACGAGTAACATCATAATAATATTATTATGATAACTGCCAAATCATTATCCAGCACAACCAATGAACCATCGCCACACAGCCACTCAACAACGGCATACGCCACACCCCAGACCACACAATGCTAAAAGTAGACACTAGTCCCACCCTCCGCTATCATACCCCAACAGAGTGAGACCATCCATCATTTCACACATCCCTACTCTCGAGTTCCCCAACTCCTTTCTCCATCCCCCGCCCAGGTGATCGGTCAAGATAGCTATAAGTTTGCCATCCTCGTATCCCAAACCTAGCCCGAAAAATGGAGAGTAGTGAAGAGGGGGAAAATTGATCAGGAGGGATGGGAAGTAGCAACTGACGTATGAACGACTGTGAAATTAAAGGTTAGACTATAAGGTAGAGGTCCGGGATGCCGAATATATTTTCTACGTGAACCAGGTTGGAGATCGCCAGGCGGGCAGAGAGCGCCCGGGATCTGGGACGGTAGGGTATATTTCTACCGGTCTTGCGGTCTTGGGAAATGGTCCGGAACCGCAAAGGGAGGTCAAGGACTTATTTTCACAATTTCTTATATTTCTTTGCACAGCGCTAACTTATGTCTTTTCCTTGAGCACCTCCTGCCACCTTTCCCTCTACAAGACCCAGCCGGTCATTGCACGAGCTTAGGGTATGACCAGCTCCTCTAGGTTAAGCTGATGCCAGTCTATATCCCTGGGAGACCTACCTCGCACGAGAATTGGGATAATTGGACTCTATGATGGGGTTTCCGGAATCACCTCGAAGGCAGACTTTCCACCCTTCTCTCCGCCGAGAGAAACAAAGGGAAAAATGACAGACCCTGGTGGTAGAGCCAACATGAACCTCATAGCCCGTTTCTAGATCTTACGGTACCCGGTAGGCTCCGAAGGCTTAGCCTCTGCCTGGGTTAATAACCTTTAGTAAAATCTCAGAGCTCAGGCGAAAATTCCCAGGTGCTGATGGGTGACTACTTACCGTAGAATCTTAAACCACTAAGTTACCACTTGGATTGTTGCAAGTTTGAAACCATGTGAGCAATAAATAGTACAATTGGCGCGAAAGGTAAAGGAATCTCGTATATGTCGGCGAGCCAATAGAACTACCATGAGAATTCGAAGAACCGGAACATAATTATACTAGGTTAAAATAAAATTTCCCCCAATGGAAACGGGGTGAAAAACACGCTAGAAGAGGTGCTTTCCTAGAGAAATGAGGGAATAAATATAGGACCTTATTAGGAGAAGCAATAGCTACGTCCTAGCACACGTTCCAACTATTGGAGTTCTTGCTAAATTGTATTGTGGCTACGAGTAAGGTGCATAAGAGCGGGAAACAAAGACTCAAAAACGTGAGTAATTAGTACTGCTCAGCTATTGTACTAAAAATTCGAAATCATGAGAAGAACATCGTGTACCCAGGACTTGAGTGAAAGGTAATTATCGCAGAATAGGAGGAAGCAGAATCTGATAGTTTAGCAGGCCTCGATGTTTGACCCTGTCTGTTGTATTATGTTGACGGTTAATTTTTGGAGGCCACAATGCGGAAAGACATATGACTACCAGTATGTTATATCCTGCATGGTATGGTAGTATAAAATCTTCGAATCATGCCCTGGCGTCCTGACGATTTCCATTCGCACACGGAAACATGGTACAAAAGTAGAGAAACATTGATCCTTTTCACGAGCTCTTTCACATCTTTCTAGTTCCTCCTGGGAGTCCGGAAAATAATTATCAAGTGTATATGCCGCCGTGTAACCACCGATAACCCCCGAACAGCCTATCCGGCGTTACCTAGGAAGTTTCAACAAATACTGTTGTTGCGGGTCCGGCAATGT